CACCAATATTTGTCACAATATCATTGGATCATTCCATAATTCTTTCAAAATTTTAAAATGTATAAAAATATTTGTAAACATTTAAAACAAATCAAATAAGTGTAAAATTTATAAAAAATACCAAAACACAAAATTAAATTGTGAAAAAATAAAAATCGGAAAGAGAATAATCAAAAATATTTTTCATAATTTTTTCAGATTTTTTGGACTAAAAATGAATTTTCTATGATTTTTTGAAATTTAAAACAATTAAAATATAAAAATCAGAAAAAGAAAATAAAAGTAAAATATATGGACCATTGGATGAGAATCAAAACGCATTATTAATCAAATCCAAGGGATCTGACGCGTTGTGCATATCATGGTCATTAGTGAATATTGTATAGAATCATTAATTAAATCGGGATTTAAAAAATACAGATGGTGCGCCTTCATTGGTTGGAAGATGACACGTTGGTCATCTTCAACCTCCAGCCATCACGAATTGCAGGTCTCTCAAACTGTAAAATCAAAAGCTCAGACCTATGCCATTCGCTTCGTCTCTTCAAGACGAAGACAACCACACCCTCGCGCCAAATTTATATAAATTGTAGCTCAAGCAATTTGGAAGGAAAGTTTTGAAAATGGATTTGAAATTTCATGGTCAAAACGTGTTTCCAGTAAAAGGTAAGTGTTGCGACTAGAACCAAGGCAATGAGAGCAACACAATGATATCAGAGTTTTAAAGAATTGATGAAGGAATCTATCTATTGAAGTTGAGTTGCAGAGCTCTGAAACTGGACTTCTATGGAGCAGTATAGGGCACGATTCTTGAATGTAATTATGTGGTTAGCTTCAGGGAAGATCAAGGAAGGTGAATTGATGGAAAAATTGGATTGAAAAAGGCTCGAGAATGGATTTTGAAGTTACAGAAAATTGAGTTATGGAGCAAGTTTGGTAGAGTGATTCTGGCTATCCAAGCTTGGGAAATTGAATGGGATAGTTCATGTATTTATAGGAGAAGCGAATGGGATCAAAAGGAAGAGTGAATGATGCGTTTTGGAGAGAATTCGTGCAAACCTGATGCACGAGTGAAGTGTGATACAAACTTCATCAAAACTCATCCAATTCTTGCGTTTTGATGTGCTAAACAAATCTGGAACTTCACTAAACATGTTTAGAGGCAAAAACGCGTGGAAAACTTGTGATTAGAGGCCACATTATGGATTTCAAAATTCTGACTTGGTGAGAAATTCAATTTCAAAGTGCCAACTTCTGACCAATGGCATTTTCAACTCAAGGGGTCTTAGGGCATGATTCTTGATGCTTTAGAAAGATGAGGTTACAAGCTTTGCAATGGAAAAAGAATGGAGTTAAATGGATACTTGAGATGAAAGTTACATTGAGTCAAAGTTGAAGAAAAAGGGTTGACTTTCCATACTTAGAAATATTTCAAATTCTTCTTCAAAAATGACCTATAATCTTTTGCATCCAAACATGGCCTTCCACTTGGAATTTTCCCTTGACCAAAAAAGATGGAATGAATTAGATCTCTTGAATGACATTTTGAAACTTGAACCACTTAAAATCTCCAAAAATTTGAGAAAGTTATGACTTGTTGAAGTTGGCCAAAAATCATGAAATGACCTATAATATTTTGCATATTTAAGGCAACCTCCATCCATTTTCCCACTTTGCACATAAAATAAGGCATAAAGTTTACATCTTCAAGATTATTATGGAAAAAGAATGGACTCAAGGTGATGAAAATTGACCAAGTTATGATCATTTGAAGTTACTTATGTAAAATTATGGATTCATCTGGATGACTTGTAATCTTTCTTCTTCACCAAGTTTCTTCCACATGAAAACTCCTTGGAACTTTTGAAGTTATTTATTGATAACCCTTTGAAGATAAGGATGTCTTTGGAATCACTCAAAAATACCAAAAGGTGAGCAAGATATACTCCTTTGAAGTTCAAAACCCTAGCTTCTAGATCAAGAGAATGCCTTGAGGAACTTTGACAAGTTTGAACAAACTTCTTGTACAAATATTCTTTCTTTGTGAATAGAAGTTGTTGAAGATGATAATTAGAACTCTTAGCCACCAAAACCACTTCCATATCTTGAATTTTGAGAGAAATATGCTCTTGTGACCAATAGGAGCAAGGCCTTGTCCAAACATGACAACTTCTCCAATCAACCCCTTGTACTTTTGAGTCAAATCTAATAACCTTGAAATGTGATGAACAAAAGCAACCTTGCCATGCCAATTCTCCCAAAACCAATCCAATGGTGAGGTTTGAACTTCTCAAGCTATATTGACTGAGACATAGAAATAAACTCATGAACCCATGGAGTAACTTGTTAGATCTCATTGCTCTTACCTACATGGATAACAAGCAAGACAAGCCAACATTGAATTTTATTAGTTAAGTGAAGAAATCAAAATAATATTCATGATCACAAAAGGAACATAAGTCAAGGTGCTTCGTAATCCCTCAAAAGGAGCAAAACTCAAAGTAGGAAGGAGAACCAAGAATCCTAGTGTGATCTTGTTGTGAGTGAATCAACATGGTATGATGAAGGGATCTTAGGGACAAAAAATAGAGCGGGACGGACGGGCATAATTGAGGATGAAGGCTTAAAACCTAGGCCCGCTCTGCAAAAAAGTGAGTGTGGGGCAAGGAAAGCCCACAAACACTTCACCTTTTAAACCTAAAAATGCAAAATTTCATGTTAATGTTCGTGCCCGCAAAAACCTGCGAAAAAATGGAGTAGGACGGAACAATCACGCTAGAAAGTGAGAGCCTAAATTCTTAATCTGTCACACACTAAAGTGTGGGCAAAACAGATATGCCCAATAAACCAAACCCATTAGACGAACAGTATTTTGTAAAATACTCTTCTAATAACCACTAACCATCACTCTAACGACCATCCATTGATGATCCCTCTAACATTTATCAACCAACAATCACCCATTTCAATCATTATTAAAGTTACTACTCTAAATAAATTTTCTAATTTCAAAACTCAAAATTAAAATTGTTTTTGTTTTTCAAAAAAGTTCAAACTTGAAACTTGAAACTGGATTTAGTTTTATAACCTTAAAAACAAAAAACAAAAAATCACCCTAAATGAAACCAAATATGAACACGTTTCAAACTACAGACTTATTACACATGAAATCAATTAACCATGTCTACAAATTTCTCCTTCTCATTTTAATGAAACAATGGACCACAAGCCTGTTTCATTTCTTACACACTGTTGGCCCATAACCAAATTCCTTTTTCCCTCAACTGTTTTTTGTCACCAACGCTTTAATATCATTGGTACTATATCAAGATACAAGAACTAAATTAAGAGGATTAGATAGGTGAAAAATATCTAATAAAAAATCAAAAATACCTTTTAGAAATATATTTCTGGTATGTATTTTATACACGAAGCATCCAAAATTATGTATAGTCTCACAAGAATTGAAAATACATTTCTGATTTTAATATATATATATATATATATATATATATATATATATATATATATATATATATATATATATATATATATATATATATATATATATATATATATATATATATATATATATATATATATATATATATATATATATATATATATATATATATATATATATATATATATATATATATATATATATATATATATATATATATATAATATGCATTAAAAATATATTTTTAATTTTAAAAATATTTTTAAAATTTCACACGGTATTTAAAAAACACTCACGTTATATTAAGAAATTCCCCAAATTAACGGAGTTCTTTTTTCCTTTGTAACAAAAAAGTAGAACCAACTTTAACCATTTGATTATTTTGTCCTTAGTTTACCAAAACAAATAGAACCAAACTCTAAAACTAGTGCCTCAGCTAAGTCCCTTAATCAACGGTCAAGATTGTACCAAAAAATAGTAGACATCTATCCATGAGAGCCATCAATTTTATAGCTTGATAACCAACCATATACACCACGCATTAAATTTGAGCACAATGAAATTGGTGGCTCGAAAACAGTTCCTATCAATGTTTTAAATTCACCAAACAACCTATTTCTTGGCTTAGTCTATATGATATAATTAATTCCAATATCAAGAAGCCGACTAAAATTATTATAAAAAAAAATATATATAAATGAAAAGATAATAATAATTTTACTAAATTATTTGTACCAGATATTAGTATATTCACTATTGACAATAAATATAACAATAAATATAAAGTGAAAGATATTAACCAAGTACTTTTAATTAGATGATATAAATGAAAAATAATAAATAATATTAAATTGAAAATTAAAATATTCATTTTATTTTTAAATATTATAGAAAAAAATTACTTCACGCCATATAAGAAATGTAGTTCTTAAAAATAATATATTTTTAATTAAAATAAATTTAAATTGAACAAAGAATATTTTAAGAATAAAAATATTAATATTCTAAATACAATTTAAATGATAACTGCAAAAATATTTGATAGCAAAAAATTATTTTAAATTATTAATTTATAAATATCAGTAATTTATTAATATTAATATAATAGATATAAATAAATACCGTTATCAAGGATTAAATTATAGACAAAAAAATTTACATAAAATTTAACATAATTATTTCCTATCAATTGAGGTATCTCAATGATATCTGATTTCTTAATATTTACTGTGAGTCAAATTCCTTTCGCCACTAAACTCTAAAAATTAAAATAAATAAAAAACTTAAATTATCTTTTTTTCATTATAATGTTTATTGTTTACAAAATGTATAATAATAAAGTTTCACGATCCTATAATAAAGTTTCACTACTTAGTAATTAATTAAAGAAGTGCTCCATTTATTATATCTATACATCTTTTATCATTTTGTGTCCTAAACACATATAAAGTCATAAAACAATTGTCAAGAGTTAGAACCATAAACAACACAAGAGTGTATACTGAAATCAATTGCTTCAAACAAGAAAACCCAAAAAATGATCAATGATAGTATCAATCATCTTTCTATTGAAAAGTCTTTTAGAATAAAGCAAGATGATAGATTCTTCTCAAGGCTAAAATCAAAAGAAGCTTCTAGTGGCAACACTTCATCAAGAATCTTGTATTATGGAGAAACATCAATTGCAATTCCCTTTGTTTGGGAGGCACAACCTGGTACTCCTAAACACCCTTTGTCTCAAATCTCTATACTTCCCCTTACACCTCCACCTTCATATTATTCCAAAAAATCCAATACTAATAAAAAAAGAAAATCCAAAATCAATGTTTTTTCATGCATTTTGCCAAGGTTAGTAGGTTCAAGGAAGACTACTCATACTCATGCATCATCAACATCGCCATCATCTTCATCATCGTCTCCGTCTTCGTCGTCGTATACGTATTTGATGAGAGACAACAATCATTGAAGCTTCTCTTCCTCATGTTCATCAACAATTGTTAGCTCATTTTTGAAAGATAGAGAGGTTCTAACAAAGTTAGAGGATGTTATCCTATTGGGAAAATAAAGAATGCTATTGTAAGTCATGGAGGGTAATTTGTGAAGGTAATTAATTCCTTTATTAGAAATTAGTTTTCTACATGGTGTACTAAGTAATTTTTAAATGTGGTTGTTTGGTTTGTGATTTTGTTTATTTAATTGTATTGGACATATTGGTTTTTTTACTATTATCTCAACAAAATTAATCCTATGCGGTTCTACACAAGCAAAAAACACAGCGTTCTTCGGCAGCACCATTAGTTTCTAAATTCTTTTGTTATTTAATATGCTATCCCTGCAAAACGATTTGAAGGGCAGTGGCAATTTTCACTTTTGATAAATAAAATTTGTATTATAGTTATTCATAAGTGCCTCAAAGCCCCAAATGGAATGTCCAACACATACTGTTTATTACTTGCTTTCTTTTTTAGAAATGTCATTGAAACACAATTTTTGACATCTTATTCGCGGAGTGGAGGAGCCATAAATTTGGAGAAGAGGTGCATTCTATTTAACTTTTGTTTTGTTTAGAAATTAGAAATAGTTAATGATAGAGTTAGATGGAACTAGGGGTGGATGGAGCGAGCTTCTAATATGGTGCTTCTAATACGGTGAAGTAGAGTAGATTTGTAAGGCTAACACTCTAACACTTAAGTCAGTAAATAAGTGATAAGTAATATGAGTGTGAGAATGAGTAGAATACTTGAGTTTGTGCGTGTGAAAGATAGTTATAATTATCCCAAATCGCCCCACTGGGATGTAGAGTACCCTTCAATTAATTGTAACGATCACTCTTCCTTCAACAATCTAACATTTATGCCTTTAGATTGAGCCTTCTTATAATTGGGTTTCTCCATCTTTGGGCCTGTCGATCTGGAACAGTTGTCTCCAAGGTTTGTCATTATGTAGTAGTTTGGAGACATGGGATTACCAAACTGCTTCATCCTCTACGATAATACTCCTAACAAAATCATGGCTGGTAAAAATGGAAAAGATTTGGTGAGTGGGAGTAAGTGACCTTTGGAACAAACACATTAAATGTTTGTTTTGGCACTGAATTATTTCATTTAATCGCTAATGCACATGTCCTTAGACCCCTAGGATAAGGCATGGCTCTGCCGTTTAGGGTGATCAAGTGCACTAGAGTGTCGTTGCGATTTTGGGGCAAATCAATATGTTGATTTTCGTCTATCTACCTCGCTTTAATTTGGACCGTAGATATTCGTATCTTTCTCAACTATATATAGATTGTTTCCACTTTCAAGTTAGGTTCCAATTCACCTTGTCTAAGCTCTGATGATATTTTTGTCATATCCATCTATTTTTTTTATAGATCTCAAAATCCATTTTGGTCTTTTTACGTTTTTAGGTGGTTTCTTTGTCATTGCTTTGACTTCATCTCTTTAGTTTTTTTAAGTACCACTTCTATCTCTCTCGTTTACTATTGTTGTTTTATGCTCTTTTTCTTAAAAATGGTTAACCTAGGAAACATACCCACAAAATTTATAAATATATTTAGTGGAAACAATATAAGTGTCATTTCGTCTCGTATAGAACTAGTGACTCAAAGTGTTGAATGTTTCTTTTTTGGCCTTTATCCATCCACTTGCAAATCTTGTAGTACTTAGTGATAATTCTATGTCTATGGGGTTGTGTCAAAAGTGGTAGTGAGCCCACAAATTCCCATTATGATAGAAGTGCATAGAGGCCCGTAGAAGAAGATTGAGGGGTGAAATTGGTTTGTCTTGGCACAAAGGGAATGATCCATGGCTCCCTATTTTTTGAATCGCCCATGGTGGATCCAAAGTTTGTTAAGGTGTATCGGGGTGATCCGGTGACCTATATCTATATCAAAACTTTTAATTTTTTGAATGGTTGAAATCCCAACAACAGAGAAGTTAAGAAGCATCTTAACTTTCAGGGGCATTGTAGAAGTTATGATGGACATTTTATTTTTGTTGACAATGGGGAAGAGATGGTTTGAAAGGATTAGCAAGGCCTCAAATTGCTCGTAGTTGTTGCTCAATACTATTGGATGGATATATAAGTGGTAGAGACCACTTCAGTGTTTAGTAACACACATAAATTGGATAGTACGCTCATCAGGAAGTGGAATTGTCCTCTTATTGGCCAGTCTCTCATGTTGAATTTGACAAGATGTTGTGTAGCTCCTTCAATAGATGTTTTATGCATTCCCATGAGATTTTTGTGTATAGGTGTGAGTTGCAAGTCTCACATTTCTTAGAAAAGTGAAAGTTGAACATTTTATAAGTGAGAGGATATCACCTTAATATTTTGAGTGAATATGTGGTGTATCTCATTTGTTTGGGCGAGTCTTTTATCTTTATATGAATGTTTGACCCAATATGACCTTGTTTCTTTTTCTAATAGGCTTTGATGTGTTTAATGTAATGTCCATAACATTATAGTGTTACTTATTTAGTAAAAGTCGTTTAGTAAAAAAATTGAAGTCCTGCGTCAAAAAATTTGGTGCATGTTAGTAGCATTATTAAATAATTTTAAAATAACTAATTTATTTTAATAAGCAACAATTTTTATCAATAAGCGAGTACAATGGGTACTCCAACCCAAATACAATGGTCACACATCAACCAACCTTCCAAAAATAAAGTAAAGGATTAGTATATCAATCAAAGTATGAGCTCGAACTCGATCGATTACAATTAATAAACATCCATTTCCAAGATAAGAAAATAATGGAAGACATACAATGCTCAAAACTAAAAATGATACCTTTGAATATGATCGCATTTCACATCAACCAAATATTCCACAAATTAGCCAACCAAATAAACGTAGTTATATCTCGATCCTTCTTATTCTTCACCTTCTTGCAAAAAATAAAGAAACAAGATAGTTCATCGAGGTTCAAATCTACATTAATGCCTAACCAATGTTAAATCACCATCCAAATTCTATTGCTAAGAACACACCTTGAGAATAGGTGATCATACATTCCAACTCCATAGAGCAAAAAACACATTCCTTGTCCCTTTCCTCTATTATAAATCCTCTTTTAACTAAATGATCTAGGGTAGAAAGTCTATTTATAGTCAATCTCCATCCAAACATGAATACGTTAGAAGGTACATTTGTTTTCCAAAGAGCCGAAAGAGCTTCTGTCGTTGTCTCCGCAATCGGCCCATCCTGAGTGCTATCTTCGAATGCTTCATAGCAAGAGTTAACCGAAAAATTGTGATTAGGTTCTCTAACCCAATCAAACTCGTCTTGCTCAAACTGATGAAAATATGCCTCCATTAATATAGAACAAAATTGAGCCCATAAGGTTGGATCCAACACATTGACGTTGAAGGCTACATAGTGAAAATTCCAGATCCACGATCCCTCTGCCCACTGACCAGCTTCTGCCACTAACATGAATTGGTCCACTATCGCATCGAATATCTCCAAAAAAGCCTTATTCAAGCTTTGATTACCAAGCCACTTACTTAACCAGAAAGCAATATTGCTTCCATCTTTTACCTTGCAAGAAATAAAGTTAGAAAAACATTTCCCAGAAGACCCAGCCTTAATATCGAGTAGAAGCAAATCCCTCCACCATATTGAATCTCCTGAACAAGTTACACGTTTATCATTGGAAAACAACTTCACTTCAGTACTCGCATATCTATATCTCAAAATTCAGCTCCATATTGTGTTCTTCTCCTTAAGGATACACCACTTCCACTTGGTCGAAAGAGCTCTATTAAAAGTTTTGATGTCTTTAATTCCAAGACCTCCACAAGATTTTGGTTTGCATACCAATTTCTAACTTACCTAATTAATATCTCTCTTATTCTCTGCTCCTCCATAAGAAATTACTTTGAATACTTCTAATCTGATTAAGAACTTTGAACGAAACTTTATAAAATGACAGCGTGTATAACGGTAAAGCGTTCAAAACGAAATTGATTAAAACAACTCTACCTCCCAAAGATATGAATCTTCCCTTCCCGTATTCAGCCTTCTTTTAAAATTCCTCAAAAGGTCTTTCCACATGAACTCTCTCATAGGGTTGTCCCCTACCATGACTCCTAAAAAATTGAATGACATTGAGCCAATTCCGCAAGCTAGGAAAGAATATGTTGCGTTAAGACTCCAATCACACACATTAATGTCGTAGATATTACTTTTGAAAAAATTGACGTCTTTATTTCGGGGCTTTTTGAATTTTTTATTTTAAAAATTGAATAAAAAATTAATTTAAATAGTTTTTTTTATAATTTGTATTTTTCTGATTTTATAGTACTTGTGGGTCGCGATGAATGGTAAAAACATTTTTGTATAAATGACTATTCATGTAATTGTATGGTTCTTGTCTTAGAAGGCTATTTGATCAAAAAAAGCCAAATTCAAGGAGATTTTATCCTAGCATCCTTTTATTTTGACCTGACACCCTCCTATTTATTCTAATATTAAAAATATCCTTCTCATTTATTTCATTAACAATCTCACGTAAAAAATACGGTAGGTTAATAAAAAAATTGATATGATATCAAAAAATTCAGCACTTTTAACATTTGATACATTTGTTTTCTTGCATGATGCATTGTGGATGACATAAAGGCCAAGTTTTGACAACACTTTTACTTCCCCCAAACATGCATTTTCATCTCCTGTCACTATCACAAAACCGTAGCAAAATTTGTGATTATCCTCACCAAAACTCTAGGATTCTACTATAAATAGAGGTTATTTTTGGGAGAAAAGAGAGAGCTTTTTAAGATTAAAGAAATGCTGAAAATTTTGAGGGAGAAAGAAAGTTTCTTTAATTTTGTGAGTTGGGGGAATAAGCCATTGATTGGTTGTGCAAAGAACACCAACATCGTCCATCTCCAAAGGAATCATTGTTGGTAACTGATGAGTGCCAAATGTGTGTAAACTTCCGCTTTAAAACTTGACACTTTT